AGGGGCCCTTCTGTGAGGAAGAGAACAGCAATGACTGCTCACAGCCATCCCTCAAGGCAGGTGGGAGATGGAGACCTCGTGGGCACCAGCCTCATGTGCTGCCCTGTTTGTGGTCAACAAGGAGGTTCTCCGGAGGGCTCCCTAAGGCCTGCTTGCTCCCTGGCTCTGCACTGCTTGCCTCTGAAGCAGCAGCAAAGGTCATGCTTGCTCTGGTGAATCCAGAAGAGCAGAACTTCACAGCAGGTGACTCAAGTCTTGAAAGTCAGCACTGGCAGCAAGAAACCAAAGCAGCAACATGTGCAAACCTCCCAGCAAGAGCGGGCTGCCTTACAGCACTCCTGTGTATGCCCCAGGCTCCCTGAGGGGACTTCCACCAAGGGGCTTCCTCCCAGCCCCACGGTCCAGTGGCAACTACTCATCCAAATCTGGTTTGGTCATTTTCCTCCTGGGCTCCATGCCCATCCAAACACAATCTCAGCAGGACCCTTTGGGCTCCTTCCATGAGAAGAATGTGGTATTCTTTTTAGGGGCTCAGAAAATGCAAATAAATAATTCACTGTATTTCTTCAGCCAAGGACTGTCTCCTGCTTTGGCAGGCCTGACGTCCAGCTGTCTCTGAAGGATCCCTGGGAGGGAGGGATATGCACGCCCGTGTGCATGTGTGTGTGTTAGGGGTGGTAGGAAGACTCAGATAAGGAGAAAGCCACTGTAGAATTTCAGACACACTTTATGGCCAACATTACCGTGGTATAGCACTTTCTCCAAAAGGCAAACACCTTCAGCTGCCGTGTTTTCCTCAATCCTGTCACACTGAGTATTATGGTCCCAAAGCCAGAGATGACACAGCTTGGGAACTGAAAACAGAGGCCACTCTGAGAGCTGGGAAAATTTCCAAATGCTTCCTCCTGGGCTCAAGGATAGAAAAGGTCAGGATTCTCTTTGATTTGAACAAAGTCCTTATGAAGAAGTTGGACAGTGGAATTCACATTAATTCTCTGCTATGATCATAGAATAAAGTTCTCTCTGATGGCTGATTTAAACTTCTCTCCATCCCCTGCACCATGTGTAGCGGCCTCAGGTGCTTGGAAGTTCTTAAGCACTTCAGTCTCTGCCCAAAAGCCCCACTGTCCGTGTGACGCCTGTCTTGAGTAGTCCCTGCCCTCCCTGCTGGTAGGGCCAGTGTAAGGCGAGCTCACAGTGACGCTGGCAGAAGAAAGGAGGAGAGGTAACACCCTGACTCACCTTGGCTTCCCTTCTTCCTCCACTGAATGGGAACCACAGGATTCCTCCCCAACTCTGCCTGTTGTCGTTTTATGCAGGATTTCACCATAGCAAAACACTGCACATGGATGTCCCCGGTAGCACCATTCACAACAGCAAAAACAACCTCAATATCCACAAGCTGGTGGCTGGGGAAATAAATTGTGGTCTATGCATATGGGAGGCGGATAGCCACCAAAAGGTGTGCCGTGCTGACACATGCCACCGTACAGACCAACCTTGAAGACATTATGTGAACTGAAATAAGGCAGCCACAAAAGACTCTGTGGTGTGTGGTTCCATTAACAGATTCAGACCAGGTATAGTCATAGAGAGAGAAAGCAGGTGCTTGCAGACCAGGCAAATTCATGGAGAGAGAGGAGGCAGGATCTTGTTGGAGGTCACAGGGCTGGGGAAATAGGAGCTGACACTCTAGTGGGTACAAGACTTTCTTTTGGAGTGATGAAAATATTTTAGAACTAGATAGAGATGGTGTTGGCATGAAACTGTGAATGGACTAAACAACACTGATTTGTTCATTTTAAAGTTAATTTTGTTGTGTGACTTTCAACTTCATTTAAGAAAAAAATTACTGAAGCGCTCTTCCCACCTAGAGCAGTGGGGCCTCTTCACTGCACACTCGTCCTCCTCTGCATTCTCGGGACTCTTCCCTCACCCCGATGGCCTGTGGACCGGAAGAGATGCTTCCTCCACGCCGTGCCTGCTTCTTGACTGCTCAGGACTGAGTTAGCTCCAGTCCTTTCTAGCTCTGCACATGGCTCCAGGACTCACCCTGTGAGCCTTCAGCTTTTTCATCCACATGATTTGCAGAGTTGAAGGGTGGATGAAGTGAGATGAGGCAAGGAAAGCTTATTCAGTGCAGGCAAGTTAGATAGATATAACACGATCATTTTGAAACGCTAAGTCCCACTGGGACCAGAAAGCAGAAACATCTTTTTATATGGCACTTCACAGCTGTAAGCCTCCTGTCCACCAGGGGGAGCCCTCAAAAGGAGCCCAGCATCAGTTCTAACAGGAATCTGTTTCCTGGAACTCTTTTTTTCTACTGCTTTATTAGCCCCTCTGCCCACTGGTGGATGGCTTTTGCTACCAGAAGCTCTGCAGTTTTAAACTCTAAACCACAGTTGATAAACTTTTTCTTTACAAGATAAGAGTATTTTAGGCTTTCTGGGCCATGCTATTTACTAAAATAGGTTGCAGGCCGAATCCAAATCCAGCCTGCTGCCTGATTCTGTAGAGCTAAGTTTTTTTTTTTTTTCACTCTTAAATGGTTGATTTAAAAAAGAAGAAATATATGTGGCATACAAGAATTAAATAAAAATCATGCTCCTGTACCTATGTATAAAGTTCTACTGGAACACAGCCACATTCCCGTGTGTTATCTATGGCTTCTTTTGAACTACAATAGCTGAGTTGCGTAGTTTTGACAGAAACAATAATGACCTGCAATACCTAAAAAGTTTACCATCTTGTCCTTTAAAATTTGTTGCTGTTGATATCTGCTCTAAACAAATAAAGTTAGTAATCAAAATCACTCATGACATCACATGTCATGACTCATGTCCCACCTATCAGTATATTTTTTATGGCTATCTGTGAGTCTTTTTTCATCTGTAGAAAGAGGGTAATAGCACTATGCCACGAAGTTACTGTGAGGACTGAATGACTTAGTACATGACAAGCACTTAGGACAATACCTGGATGTATAAGTGTGCAGGAACTGTGAATTCTAGTTATGTATAGAGTTGTTAATATATAGGCATGCATTCAAATAAGTACAAAACGAAAAGAGTTCTTCCCAATTAATTTATTTCAGGATGTGCTGTAAACAGTTTGAAATGTCCCTTTGACAGCTTTCTGTATTCACCAGTCTTGGGTGACATGACAAATTCTCCTTCATAGAAGGTACAAGTGAAACAGACCTGGAGGGACACTGGATCCTTCCCTCTTCAGAAAGTGAGATCACATGAAGATCCATCTGGTTGTCAGTAGAACTGGGCCATATTTCTTGGGAGCGAGGTGTCCAGACCACTGTTCATCCATATTTCCTGAATGATTTGCTCTCTGCGCTCAATCCTTTCTGCCAGCTCTGCAGCCTCTGTGGAGCTGTAGGCTGGATACGAAGTCTTACGAAACCCTGATAATTCCCCTGGAAATTCGGAGTCAGAGGAGTCCTCCTCCTCTTCCTCGTCGTCCTCACTGTCCTCAGCCTTGTTGCTTCCTGGCACCAGGTGCTCCTTCCCCAGCTGCATCTCCCTGAAGTCTTTGGTGCAGGACACTCTGATGACTAAGGCACACAATGTGAGGATCAGGCCGATGCAGACACTGGATACAAACAGCAGAGCGGCTCTCTCAGGGTGCGCTGCAGGAGGAAGAGAATATGTCAGGAGCCAGAAGGAGCTTCCGTCTTTATCAGCCCAAATCCCACAGGACTAGTCCTAACCAGCATCTTTGGAACCATCGGCTCTTAACTGATCCTGTCCTCCAGTGATTAAAGTCTTTGATCCCAGTCAATAGATTCATGCATATGTGAGGACACACAGAAGAGGGACGCAGGAGCCAGATCCCCCGTCACTTAAACTCAGCCCAGTTGTGGTCTACATCTAACATGGCCCCAAAGCCTCATGTGTTCGGGAGGTGATTGGGCAGGAGAGGCGGTCCCTGGGGGTGTGGCCTGAAGGGCACATCTCTCTCCCCGGTTCCTCCTTTCTTTCTCTGCTTCCGTCCACCATGACAGGAGCAGCTCTCCTCCGCCAGGCCCTTCCACCATGCCTTCCTGCCTTGGAGTCAGCAATAAACCTCCCTTCCTTTAAGTGGTGGGTGTCAGGTGTTTGTCCCAGTAACAGGAAAGTGATGAACACAGAGCTAATTCCTATAAAGTTTCTAGGCTACTCCCTGACACATAGTAAATGTTCAATCAAACCTTAGCTATTAGTAACAGTTGCCAATGATGCAGAATTAATTTACATACGTAGTATTTATCTGAACTTTTCCCCCTTTGGTATTGGGAATTGAGCCCAGGCTCTCAATACATGCTAGGCAAGTGTTCTACCACTGATTTACATCTCCAGGACTTACGTTTTTTTTGTGGTACTGAGAATAAGGCCCAGGGCTACCTCTCTAGTTCTTTTTATTTTTTGCTAAGTAGCCCAGGACGGCCTCAAACTTGTTTATTTTTTTGGTACTGGGAATCGAACTCAGGACCCTGCACTTGCCAGGTAGGCACTTGTGCCACTGAGCTATATCCCCAGCCCTGAGCTATATCCCTAGCCTGGCCTCAAACTTGTGATCCTTCTGCTTCAGCCTCCAGAGTAGCTGGAATTATAGGCACTTGTACCACTGTGCCTGGCTGTATGCAAATTGAAGGAATAATGTTACGAATGTTTGTAAAGCTTTATCCCTTCATTTTTTATTTTAAAAATAAATAAAAGTTCTAGTAATTTTTCTTGCATCCAAGTGGATTTTTCTGTACAATAATGACAGAAATAAAAATAATGTTGTATGTACTATATGCCTTGGCCTGACCCTCACAAAGGCTTAGTCCATACATCAATCAGGGAGGGCAAAGACTGTATTACTTCTTTCCCTTTCTCTACTTGGTGGTTCGTATCCATTCTGGGAAATAATGATCGAGTACTCTCCCTTCCCTTTTTGAGACAGGGTCTTGCCATGTAGTACAGACTGGCCTTGAACTCACTATGTAGCCCGGGCTGGCCTCAAACTCAGTGATACTCCTGCCTCAGCCTCCCAAGTGTTGGGATTACAGGCGTACACCACCATGCCTCACCAGTTCCCTCCTATTACAGATCCGAGGTTGGTAAATTTCCTGGTAAATGACCAGACAGTAACTATTTTAGGCTTTCTGGGTCATTTGCTCTCTGCTCTGTTGCAAATATTCGCCTCTGCTGTGGTAATGCAAAAGCAGCCAGAGATCTCATGTAGTGCAGAAACCACGGCTGTGTCCCAATAAAGCTTTATTTATACATTTGGGCCATGCGCCACACTTTGCCAGCCCCGATGCAGATGCTTTATCTGAAGCCCAGGGGGAAAGCAGCTGCCTGAGCTCGGTGCAGAACCAGGGCTGGAGCTTGGAACTTAAACAGTGTGCTCCTTGTGGGGTTCGCTTTGGTGCCTCCGCATTTTCTCAGCACATCTCAGCTGAATGGGTCCCCCTCGAGGTGCACTGTCACTCCTTTGATTCCGGGAGAATAATGGAGAGTGTTGTCTTTGCAATTCCTATCCTTCCCCAGAGGTCCAGGCTGGAGTTTCAAAACTCTGCTAAATTTCACACTGGTCAAGGGATCCAGCCGATGCAGTCTTACGGAGGGGTGGAACTGGGGCACCTTATCTTCTTGTAACTGGAAACCTCCCCAGTCCACTTCCTTCCCTGCAGCTGAAGCCATCACCCGAGTGGCAGGACTCAAGTGTGCTGCTCTTTGTTGCCCCCCCCCCACAGGAGCGCCCCATCGCTCTCCAGGACACAGATGCCCGCATTCAGCATTGCTCTCGGCTGGGGACGGGACAGTGGGTTGCGTCTGTAGTGCTCTTAGGAACAGTGTGACTTTCTTAAGGGTCAGCTTTGTAAAGGGATTTGGTCAAATAGACGCATGGGTCCTTTGTGAGAGAAGCAAGGGCTGTTTTCATCTCTGGGAGTGATGCCACATCAGAGGGGTGGACACGGTGGCGTTTGGGATGAGGTCATTAAATAGTGTGGTTCAAAAGATGCTAAGACCCAAGACAGAGCTTTTGGTCCATAGACAGAGCTTTTCTCTTGTTCTCTTGCAGACCAAAGCTGCTCTCCGACTTCTTCTCACCTTCTGCTGTAGCCTGGGTGTGGTATGAGTGTCGCTGAGTTCATGTGGTGAGGTGTAATCTCTACTGTGAAGTATTTGGAGATGGGACCTTAACTTGCCTACTGTTCTTTGGAACTGGGGGCCTTGGAGAGATGATTGGGTTAGATAAGGTCTTCAGGGTGGAGCCCCATGATTGGTCCCTGGTGGCTTTATAAGAAAAGAGAACAGGCATAAACTCACACACACATATTCCCTGTCTCCTGCCTTGTGATGCCCCCACTTGCCTTGCGATTGGCCAGCAAGAAGGTCATCACCAAATACAGGCCTTGACCTTGCACCAAGAAACCTTCTTTCTTCATAACTCATCCAGTCCGGGGCACAGACTTATGGGCCACAGCAAATGAACTAAGACACTGTGGTTCCCTTACCACCCTCCCGCCAGCCCCTCCCACAGGGCCCAGTTTCTCCAGTGCTTTGGTGCTCATGGTGCAACCACAACTCAATTTCTCCATCTTGGAAAACATAAACCTTGCTGGTAGTAATGCTGTGGTGTGTAGGGAGTGCTGTGGATGCAGCAAAATCCCAGCCATCTGCTTCCTTCTCCAGCCACTGTGGAAAGGTGGCCTAGCTCCGGGCAGACAGACTTTCGTCCCAGTCAGGCTTCTTAGGAGCAAGGATCACCCACCCACCCACATGTCCAAGCAGTGGTGTTGCAGAGGACAGAGTCAGGTTTGAGTTGGCTCTGTCACAAAGTAGATTTATTTTTGGACTTCTTAATTATTTATTTTAAAAGATAATGAGGTCAAATTACTTATAATCCTTAGAACATGACACATTGGCTAGTACAGGATCCTCCTTTGCATACTGGCTTTTGATAGATCCATGCTATGAATAAGTTCCTACATGGCCTGGACCACAACCTGTATCTAACCTGTAGCTCCCTAACCTCATCTCCTCTTTCCCTGTTGGATTAGTCAGCTCTTTGTTGCTGGGACATAATACCCAACACCCACAACCTAAAGGAGGGAAGTGTTATTTAGTTCACTGTTCAGGAGGTTTAGTCCATGGTCAGCTGGGTGCAAGGCAGGAACATCATGACAGAAGGGCACAGAAGAGGACAGCTGCTCATCTCATGGCAGCCAGGGAGAAGGGGAGGAGCCGGAGAAGACAGGCTGGAGTCCAGCTCTACCCTTCAGTTCATGCCACGGGAGGACTTACTCCCCTCAGCCGGGCCCCATCTTCTAATACCACATTCAGCTATGACCTTATGAATGGATTTAGCCCACTGAGGAGGACAGTGCCCATGAGCTAATCACCTTTAAAAAAGCCCATTTTTTGAGCCAGGTGTTGTGGTGCATGCCTGTAATCCCAGCACTCTGGAGGCAGAGACAGGACTGCTGTCAGTTTGAGGCCAGCCTGGAATACATAGTAAGATCCCGTCTCAACCACCCCACCCAGAAAAAGCCGAATCTCTAAACACATAGTCCCTTTGGGGGACATTTTTTGTCCAAACCATAAAACCCACCTAAGTAGCTACCACCAGGAAGCCCACAATGTAGCTACCACAGTGAATCCCACCTTCATCACTCCCTGCTTTTTTATGTACAATTTTGCATCTTTGTGTATTCCTAGAAACTGTATACAAGTATAATGTTACAGAGAATGTTTGGGACTTGGAGTTCCTCTCTCCTGGCTTGCTATCCCATTGTTGTATCAAAGTCCATTCCCTGGGCAGTTGTACAGTTGGAGCTCTCTCTCCCGCAGGTGGGCACCAGGCTTGTTGCCCGGTTGCTGCCCCTGTGGATACACACTGCAGCCATGAACATTCTTCTCAATGTCCCTGCTGTACATCTGCGAGCACTTCTTTTGGGCACTGCCCTAGGAGGTACTAGATGGGCTGTAGGGTCCATGGATTACAATTTTGGAAAATTCTGGTTTCTAAATTGGTGTGGTGTGGGAAAAGTCCTTGAATCCTCCTTTACCCCCAGCACTTGCTAGGGACAGATTTTCAATTTTTTAGTCACAATGGTATAAAATTGTATCTTGCTATGATTTTGATTTGCACTTCCCAGGTGCACATGTGTAGGTAATTCCTCTTCCCAGAATGCTAGTGCGTGTCACCTGCACGTTTAGTTTTTTTTTTTTATTGCATGGTCGGCATTTCCTTTTCATGTACAAAGAAATACACAGATATCCTATACATCTTCAGTGATAATACTTGTTCCGTTTACTGCTACAGTCTCCTCATGAATGGCTTGTATTTGCACTTTCATTACAGTGTCTTTTAACCTAGAGAATTTGTGTGAACAAATAAAATGGTGAACACCACTCTTCACATCTCCCAGATGACAACTGGTTCCCAGTCTCCCGCTTTGTCCCTGTCCCCCACCTTCCCGTGTGGCCACTGCCCACCTTTTCAAAAGCACACATCTGCTCCCACCCCTGCCTGACTTAAAACCTGTAAATCGTCTCCCTCCTGTCACAAGCTGAAAGTCAAGTCCTGACCACAGCCTGCAATGCGGGCTTTGACCCAGCCCTGCCACGCTCCGACTGCCAAGAGGCCTCGTGTCGCTCTGCTTTCCCACACGGTCCAGGCCTCATGTGTGATGCAGAGCTTCCCACCTTGGTGTCTTTGCACATGCTCTTCCTTCAGCCTGGAATGCTCTCTCTCCTGCCTCACCTCGCCCTCCACACTTCTCCCTGGCCTAGCCTGGGGGAGGGGATCACGGGCTGAAGCACTAGGCTTGGTGCCCTGTGGATGGGGCCTCACAGAGTCAGGTTCTCTCTTCCGCTTCTCCAGGGAGGAAGTACGGGGACAGCTTCCCGCTCCTAAGACCCTCGCTGCCTCATGGCTCAGGTACACTTCTGCCACATGCTCACCCTTTAGGGCTCTCCCACATCAATCTGCCAAGGCCCAGTGGTCAGAGGGGAGCACAGGCAACTCTTGGCAAGTGGATGGGAACCAGGCCTCCTGTCCATCTGGATCCTTTAGTTTGAAGCTACACAGCCCCGAATGGTAGCAGCAGGCATCTTTGAGATGAGCTGGCCCAACCCTTCCTATTGAAACTGAGTCACTTGTCCAAAGCCACCACTGGTTAGGGCTCAGGCCCAGGCTGAGGCTTCCTACACGAACCTAGGCTTTACACAAAAAACATTTCATCTGTTTCCAGGATCAGCTGGACCTCTTTTCTATTACATACTCTGAAAAAATAACGTGGTTGAATAGATTCTTCATACTGTGTTCGTGTTGGTATTGCTCTAAATGAATCATGTCATCACAGGCTGGATGGAAAAGCTTTCATTTGGTCACAGTAGTTTGCTCTTGGGACCCTCAGCCCAGTGGCCAGTGGCCTTTAAAGCCTCTTTCAAATGAACAGTCAATGCTCACAATGTTTTATGTTCTGATCGACTTTGCACGCTTGTGTCTGGTGGTCTGAGCAACTGATCTGAAGGTAACAATACACAATGGAATTACAGTGGTGAACTCCTACCATCTGGTCTAGTGAAACTCTGTTATCACCTCTAATGTTTTATCGAAGAATTATTTTCTTCTTCTCTTCAATGGTTTGAGCAATCTTTCATTCTTACATCTGGTAATCTGAGCAATGTAGTTGAGGATAGCGACATGCAATGTAACAACCACTGCTGATTTGTATTATTTTGTCTTGAGACCCTGTATCACTTTGAATGTTCTTGCTTTGATTTGCTTATGTTCGTGATACTGGTATGCTGCTACTGTTCAATTTTTTGTTTGTTTGTTTTTTTCTCATTTACTACTCTCTTTAAAATTAAAAAAAATTTTAAAAAGCCTCTTTCAATACTTAGATCTGGGTCCTGTGGCCAACACAGGTCCTGCTCAAATTTATTCACGTCCAGAGGAGACACAAGGAGCCAGGCAAAGGTCCCACCTCTCACGGCTCTCCTGACATCAAAAGGAGCCAGGCAGCAGCCATGGCCAGGGACCTCTAAGAGAAAACACAAAGTGTCCCAGAGCCTGGTCTGACAGCATCAGGGACGTGACAGTAACTTTCTGTCATAGAACCAAAGATTGGGGACCGTGGGAACACATCAGAACCCACACCTACGTGACAAGGCAGTCCTGATCTCCGATTGTCCTCCCTGGCAGGGGTAAGTAGCTGCAACTTTGGAATGTGTGATTAAACTTGTATTCTGTCTGAGTTTGTCTGATATGCGAGAGCGGCTTTCATATGAAACTATGATGCCCCCACACCCAGGGGATACCGGGAGCCTGTCCCTTCCAGCTCTGCCTTACCCATGGCCTCAGTTACCCCAGCTGTGTCTGTCACAAGGCTGAAGACACACACTCAAAACGGTCGCAAACAGTAGGAGCAGGGACGGAAATCCTGGGCCACAAAAGGCATGCCTGCAGGCATCGATGAGGTAAACACACGAAGCCAGATGCCAGGAAGACATAATTAGGTTAGTTACTAATTAGGAACGGGAGGGGTCGTGTTCTGAAGCAAGACTGTCTGAATAAATAAGTCCCGTCAGGCACCATCTGCCAGGGGACAAGGGCTCATGCTGAGCCAGCTCTCAAAGTGCCTTCCTAAGAAACACACACACACACACACACACACACACACACACACCCTCTAACTTCAGAGTGTTCTATTAGGAAACTGATCTCACAGATCACTCAAACAGCCACAGGAGAAACTATTTTTCAGGGATTCTCAGATAATCACACATCTTACGTCCCTTCCTCCAACCTCTGTGTTTCCCGAGTGCAGGACCAGGCCCTTGACGCTGATTTCTTGTCTACTTGTCCCCGTGTATAGTTGACCACATTAATGTGTTGAAATTACTTGCAGCCTAGCTGGGGGAAGGTCCTTTGGGATTCACTCAATTTGGAACTACTGGGCTGGGCTGTGCTGGAGCCTGGCCTGGTCATGCTCGTGGCTCCACGCTGCTCCTGCCACCGGCCTCTCCTTTAGAGGGTACCCAGGACCTCCGTCCATCCCTCAGATCGTCCCCACTGCAGGGCAAGGCTGTGCCTGAGGGCTGGCTGGGCCCCTCTTCCAGCAGAGATGAGATGACACTTTCTGTTGGTGTGCTGCTGGCTTAGGCTGAGCTGGCATGGCCTGAAAGCACTGCAGGGCACTGCCCTGTGACCACAGACCAAGAACTGCATGCTGCCGCATCTGGAGTGACCATGCAGGGAGGGACACGGGGAGCCCCGAGGCGCTTGTTGCACCAGGACCTTCCGAGCCTCTGTGACAACCTCATTTAGCTAACAGCCAGCACCGTGAACATAGAGCTGTCTTATTCTGAGCATTAAATCCAGGTTTGGGCTTCACTTGTTGAGATGATTGTATCTAAATATATTTCAATAAAGCCAAATTACAGCCTGTCAAATTCTCACATTTTAAAAAATGATCTAAAAATAGCAAATTCTGGGCGATAATAAGGCACAGAATGGCTCACAGTATCAGTTCAGGATGCATCACCTGGCTATCTGCTGACTACTCACTGTGTTCCTCTTCCGCACCAGCACAGGCCTAGGCACAGGGATGGACAGTCAGTGAGACGGCAGGCACTTGCCCTCAGGAGCATCACAGCTCACGAGGGAGACAGGCACGTCGCAAATCAGTCTGTCCTATGATTGGTGGGACTGAGTAGGAGAAAGGTCAGACAGGGCCGGAGGGAAGCTAGTGTAGATAACATAAGGTCTCAGAGCCTTGTCCTCAGCCCAGTGCGAAGCCTGCCTGGGCCGCTGTCCATGGTGCCCTCAGATAAATGGTTCAACTCTCCTGACCCTCTGCTTCTTCAGGGCAGAAGGGTGGATCAGAGTCTCATCTTTCAGGGGTGTTGCTATGGGATGAAATGTGTTAAAGTCTCAACCCCAACGTGACTGCTGCTAGAGATAAAGTTTCTAGGAGTTAGTTAAGGTTAAAGGAGGTCAAAAGTGTGGGGACCTAATCTGACAGGACTGGTGGTTTTATAAGATCTCTCTGCTGTCCTCTGTCTCCTCCCCTCTCTGCCATGTGAGGACACAGCATGCAGGTGGCTGTCTACAAGCGAGGAAGGGCCCTTGCCAGAAACTGAATAAATCAGCACCCGGAACATAGACTTGCGGCCCATGACGCTTAAGCTGCTTAAGCTGAGCAGACCACGGCAGCTGTGGCTAGAAAATGACAGGTGAGCGGCAGCAAAGCGCACAGCATGGCTGTGGCTCAGCAACTGATGTCATTGTCACCTCTCTTCCATCATCATCCTCTGGAGGAGCCTCATGAAGACTTTTCTCCCAGGAGGCTCTCCAGGGACTTTCAAAATAGGGGATATTTCTGACAATAAAAATCTTCTCATTTGTAACTTTGATACTTATCAGGAACAGCAAGATATGGAGGCAGGAGCGTGGTTATGAAAATGAAAGAGACCAATAACCAGGCGCCACCTGACAAACCCACAGGAGGAACACTGATGTGGAAAGACAGAGGAAACATGGTGGTGAGACTGAGCTCTCTGTCTTCTGTACTGACATTCCTTAAGCCTTTACTTCCCTGAGTCAGGCTTGCTCCACACAGTCTCGGCCCTACCAGGCCTTCCTTAGTGGTGCTGACATGCATTTTACTAATGTGTATTGGCTGAAGGTCTCAGAGGTGTTGCCTTCTGCTATGGCTTGGATGAGTGTCTCCCTGAGATCTCTGTAGAAATTTGGTGCTGGGGTGGTGGCAGTGGGAGGAGCTTTGGACTTTTGAGAGGAGGGGTCTTTTGGGAGGTCTTCAGGTCATTGGGAGCAGACCCTCCAAAGGGATTGGGGGACCCTAGTATGTTCCCCTCTCTGCTCTGGTTTGAGATGTGATTGCTCACTCTGACAAGTGCTCCCACCACGAAGGGTCACCCTCTCCAGAGGCCCAGAGTGACAGGTAGGGCAATCCAATCTTCGGCTTGAACCTCAAGAACCATGAGCCAAAATAAACATCTCTTTACTTCCTATGTAGCCTGTGTGAGACAGTTAAATGGACTGTCAACTTGATTGGCTGTAGAGCTGTCCAGGGAATTAGTAAAGCACACTTCCATATGTGTCATGGAGATGTAGCACTGGGTACTATACCTGGTCCTTCACCTTGCCTCTCTGGCACCGTTCCCCCGTTCTGCTTCTAGCTGCCGTGAGCTGAGCAGCTTTGCTCTGCCGAGCTCCTCTTTTACTGTGATGTTCCTCCCTTGGAACCAGCTGACTATGGACTGAACCTTCTGAAACCATGAACCAAATTAGATCTCTCCTCCTTTAGGTATTAGGTGTCACATATTTTCTCTGAGCAACAAGAAAGCTGACCAATATGCTATGTCGGATGTGAAGTGGCAGTGATAGAAAGCTGACTAATATAGTCACCCTAAACAGGCAGGCAGGCATTGTGCAAACTTGCAGTCAACATTCCAAAGTATGATCCATCTTCAGATAAGCAGACAGTGATGAGGAAAGATTGTTTTATCTTAGCAAAGAGGATCTATAACATGACCAGGCTGGGTGCAAACTTCTGGCCTTGCCAGTTCATGAGGGCTGAGTCTGATTGATCCTTGTAGGAAAGATTAGCAGAGGAAACCCTGGCAACCATGAGAAATAATACTTGTGACCCTGCCTTCGTGGGGCATGACCTGTTTCATTTACTAAGTGATCTGATTCATTTTTCTTCCAGCTGGGGGTGGAATTCAATAATCCCCGCATCCTTCCAAATTTTAGCCCTAGGAAATGCATTCCGACATCTCAAGGGAGAAAATACCTGTGGAGCCCAAGCCCTAAATAATGTGGCTTTATGTTTGTGATTCTCTGCTGGTTGCCTGGTTGCAACTGTACTTGAATGTGGGCTTCTGTGTTTCCGGATCTTGGAACAAAGCAGACGCTGTGTCAAATTAAAAGCCATGTGCCTTTAGTTATCTGAGTGTTGTAATTGAATGGTGCATTTGTTAATAAGGCTTTCACAAATCTGCTGGCATTTTACGAAGCATCGATTCATTGACCCACCTCTAATGTAAGCAAACGCTGCCAGGGAGTTGCTCACAATAACTCCATCTTTCTGCAGAATCTTGGATTCACTGGGGTCAAAGTTTATACCTGTTTTATGAAAAATGCAAAAGCAGTTAATCAGTGTTGTTCATAGTACGCTTGTCCTAAGATACCCCTGCTGTTCCTTGCCCAGGACTGTCATAATAATCAAAAGTCAAAAAAGAAATCAAATAAATGGGCTGTGGGCTAAATTATAGAAGATTAAGCCAGGAAGAACACTTAGTAAGCAAGCTTTCACAGAACAATAAAAGGGATCTGAGACTTTAAAACTGTTGATTACAACTTCTGGTAGGGCTCCTCCATTCCAATGAAGAAAAAAATATTCATTGTCCCATCTCAAGGGCAATGGCATTCACCACGCCTGTTGAAGGCGTAATAAGTAACATCTCATTTTAAACACGGAGCTGCTGTCTGCTCTGTGGACCAGAAGACAAGACAAACCTTGGATTACAAGCCAGGCGTGGTGGCGCGTGCCTGTAATCCCAGCACTCGGAAGGCTGAGGCAGGAGGATTGTTGCGAGTTTTAGACGAGCCTGGGCTACAAAATGAACTCAAGGGCAGCCTGAACTGCATAGTGAGACCCTGTCTCAAAAAGACAAAAACAAACAAACAAAAAACCTTGGAGGGAGATTGTGATGAGCTGCTTTTTTTTTTTTTTTTTTTTTTTGGAGATGACAAAACTTTGGGCTGATTGGCTTCTAGATACTGGTGATTGGTGATCTGCCTGGATGGAGTTTAGCAAGCTGGTGATGGGGCTTTCAAGGGACTCAGGGAACCCTTGGGGATGTCAGATGGGGCAGATGCCTGTAAGAAAGATGGCACAGAGCTCTCAAGCCTCCACTACAGGGGGCAAGGGAATTCAAGGGTCAAGTGGGAGCCTGGTTAGGGTTAGGGTTAGGGTTAGGGTTAGGGTTAGAGAAAGTAGTGGGACTGCGAAACACAGTCTGGCAGAAAGCAAGGTGGTGAACTAGGTGAACATTTCCAGGGGTGCTCACAAAGCTTTGGTGTAGGGATGACTTCAACTCTTAGTGCTTTTCATGTCAATACGTATAAATAAAATTGTAGTACATATTTAAACCTCTCTTTCTGAGTGTTTGACATCCAAGGACTCAACGCAGGAGTGATCAAAATGTTAAGAAAACAATGCATCTGTCTCGAAGAAGTACAAATTTCTTTTGCTGTGTCGTTTTTTCCACAACTATTACATAACATTTACAATGTTGTAGTTATTTTAGGTCATTTAGAGATGATTTAAAGTGTACAGGAGATATGCATAGGTTATATCCAAATACAAGGTAATTTTAAATAAGATACTTGAGTGTCTTCCAATTTTGGTATCTGTGCATGGTCCTTGAAGCCATCCTCATGTATATGGATGGAGACTTGCTGCTGTGGTTTAGGTGTATAATGTTCCTTAAGAGTTTCATGAGGTAGGATCTGCAGTCACTATATTCGTCAGTAGTTGAATGCACTGTTAGGATGGTGGGGCTCGGTTGGTGGTGGGGCACTGAGGCCTTGGCCTGGGAGGGAGTCCGGTATTCTTATTCCCCGCTCTGCTCTCTATGTACCTCCTGGCTGTCATGGGTTGGATGGATTTCCCCTACAATGACGGTCCACCATGTTCTTTCTGCTTTTGAGCTAGCTAAGCGTGGACTGGCACTGTGATCCAGAATAAGCCCCCTGCTTTAAGTTGTGGGTGTCAGTTTTGTCCCAGAGTGAGGAAAGTGGCTGAGCATCTATAGTTTACTTTTATAATTACAGGGGAATCAGCTAATAAATATAATAAAAGTAATGCAAGACCAAACTCTTGCTATGGAGAGCCCAGTACTGTAGCTGCTGTACTGGGTCTTTGTAGTTTTTGTCTGGAACCCCACAAGGCTGAATTTCATTCTAGATTTCATTTTAAAAATCAGGGCGTTCACACCCCACATACATTTTACAACATGCAAGTGAGACCCAAAGGAAGAGGCTGGCAGGCGAGCGGCGGTGGGCTCTGATTCACCTGGGTTCCTGACAAGATCATTTTTGCAACAGGCTCACTGTAAAACTCCAGAACCCAACTTATTTTTAAGCTTGTTTGACGTCACAGTTCTTTTAGGAAGCAATAGGAGAATGGAGCAGAAGCTGATTCTACTTAAGATTTCAAAAGATCAAAACAAAAACAAAATGCTAGCTATCATTTGCAGCCACTGGCACCAACAATCCTGCTGAGATCCCCTTTCATTTTGTCCAGTGTGTGCCAGACTGTGGTCAGGCGGATGTTTACGTTTACTTAAAGAGAAACGCTGGTAGTAAGCAATAAAAATTACCATGTTCACCATCTTCCTGCGACAAAGTAGGCTTCACATTAGCAATGGCTGGATCAATCGCTGTGAGTATGTTCTTGGGAACTAAACACAAAAAAAGAAATATTTTTAAAACTTAGTACACTTTTTAAAATTGTACACTTAATATATGTTTGAGTACTTCTCTGCTACAAAGAAAGATAAACTTGAGTCATCTGTAGGAAAATGGACGCACCTCGAGGCCATGGTGTTAAGTGAAATAAATCAGATGCACAAACTTAAGTATTGCATAGTTTCTCTTATATGAGAAACCCGAAGTATAAAGAGCAAAGTAAAAGATGATAGGAAGTAGGGACGTAGATCTTTCTAGAAGAAGAAAGGGATCAAAAGATGGGGTGGGGAGGGAAAGGAAAAGGGATGCAAAGAAAAGGAATTAAGATGTGTTATGTACATGTACAAATTCCCCTAAAGGAATGTAAACGTTATATATAACAAACGTACTAATAAGAAAATAAATTTTAAAATGTTTAAGGTATAATGTAGATAATATTTTTGGGGTCTTTTTAAGACAGGGTCTCACTATGCAGTGCAGGATGGTCTTGAACTCACTTTGTAGCCCAGGCTGTCCTCCAACTTGCAACGATCCTCCTGCCTCAGCCTCCCAAGTGCTGGGATTACAGGTGTGTGCCACCACACCCGGCTGTAGATAATATTTAAAAACCACTTTTCAAATCAGTTGAAGAACTGCTCACACTGCCTTTCAGATATACACATGGACACACACACACACACACACACACACACACACCCCTATATACTCCAAAGGTGTCTGTACGGTCATCAAATACCCCAGAAAGGTGAAACTATAGACCCATTTTTGCACTTGTAAAAAGAAAACATGGCAAACAAAAACACAGTTATGGTACATCCACCCAATGGAATGAAATTAATAATAACAAAATTAATTATTAATACATGCTGGATGGATGATCCTCAAAAACACACTCAGTAGGAGAAGCCAGACACAAAGGACAACATAGTGTAGGATTTCACTGATACAAAATATAAAAGTAGAGTGAAAGCAAAAGTAGAGACAGAACTAAAAGGAGTGGTTCCTGGAACAAGAGTCAGGAAACGGAACTGACTGCTAACGAGCCCGAAAACCTTTTTGAGATGGTGGGATTAGATTAAAGTTGGACTGTGGCATTGCTTCTTGGCCTTTTGGTTAAGATCAAGAGTAGTAAAACAAGTATGGTGATGGTTGCACAACTCTACATTTATTGAATATCACTGAACTGTATTTGGTTTGAGTGAATATCAAGATATTTAAGTAACGTCTACGTAAAGCTTTTCACCCATACATGAGCTTCTCTGAGGACACAGCACTGACACCAGGGCCGTGCAGTGCCCGGAGAGCGGGCAAAACAGCCGACAGATGACAGCAGCAGCTGACACAGAGCAAAGCAAGAATCCTGAAAGACCAAGCCCACCGCCTGCTGCAGACTGGGAGAGGCGAGAGGAAACCAAATCCTCTTGCTGCCGAGAATTGCTTATTTATGTTTGCCGTTGAGGCCAGCTGATATCTGGGAGAAGGGGCTACAGGAAGTACAAGGGAAGCCAACACAAACTGTGTAAGTTACACTGCACTGCTTTTCTCACAAAGAAAAAGTAAGACACCTTCAGCAACAAGAAAACCTCATTTCCTTTCTCAGAGTGCTTAGCTAAAATTTGTGCGGGGGATGTCCGAAGATCAACAGTCAGAGACACTCCTGGATAGTGAACTGTCCATGTACAGGAGGCCCTGGAGCCTTCCTACCCATTAGCAGCGAGTGTCATTTTCTGGAGAGGCACATGAACAGGCCATGACAACTGGCTGTGGGCTGACCACGTGGCTCACCAGGACCACAGCAACACCCAGAGAGCGGAGCCGCGCTACCACGACATGCTTCCTAACTAAATAACTCTCTCATTCCTGGGTCCCAAGAATGATGGCCCTAAATGCAACATGTCTTCCTTCCCTGCTAGCAGTGGCACTTTCTCACATCTGTCTCTTGGCTCATTCTCAAAACATGATCTGAGAGGGACTTTTGCTCTGTGCAAATGCCAGAGACTTCCCATCCAAGAAAGAGTCAGAACTTTATAAAGGAGCTTGGAGAGGAAGGGTCTTCCAGGATGATTTTTGCAGAATAACCAGGCTCTTCAGATTACATTGCCTGTGTAGAATACAGATCACTATGACGAACTTGCCCATTTATCATGGGAAAATGGCTGTGGTACTGGAAGACTTTTAGGATATTTAAAATAACATGTGTCCATACAACTGCCAGATTTTTCCAACTGGTTTAGAGTGAGGACGAGAGCTGGGGTATAATTTATCATTCCTTGAGCCTGCTTCTCTCTACTTTTGATGCGTTTATGAAAACCCTCAAAGCACTCTTCGTGGAGTTCCTGATACGTGCCAAACCCTGTTCTGGGAAGTTTAGATGATACATTTTGCATAATCGTTCTAGCGGCCTGGTGAATATGTGTATCATTCCCTTTCCTGCAGGTGGGACGTGTAAGGCTCAAAAGTGCATATTCCATAGGAAAAGGAAAAGCTTCAACACCCTCACTCTTTCCACGATGCTGTGCTGTCCCTGGCACATTCAGCCTTTGGGAAGTAGATCACAGACTTTCCAGAAGATTCTAAAGATGGTAAAGTGATTCTCACTCAGGCAGTCTCTCTTGAGTCTGTGTCGCTGAAATCAAAGATATGGATTCTAATGGACTTAGGTGGTTGGCTAAATTTGGGCACAGATCTCATCTTGATTGATTTATTGGTTGATTGACTGGCTCAGTAAACCTGTATCAAGCTTCAGTCAGTGCAGATTTCAAGAAAAAAGCCTTCATAGAATGAACATGGGGCCCCAAATTATTCTTGTTTTGTTTTGTTTTGTCTTGTTTTTTGAGACAGGGTCTCACTATGTAATGCACACTGGCCTTGAACTGGCTATGTAGCTCAGGCGGGCCTCAAACTCACAGCAATCCTCTTGTCTTGGACTCCTAAGTGCTAGGATTGTAGGCATGTGCCACCGTGTCTGACCCAAATGATTCTTTTCACTCATTACAAAAATTGTTTTTATATGACTTTTACCACCACTTGTCCTCAGTACATGCCCCAAAGGCACATGCCTCTCCAAACCCTGAGCCACCATCCTGACAGGGCTCACTTTTTGGGAGGAGTTGTGGGACCCTTGGGGAGACAGAATGGGTATCTTCAAAATGCCCATTTCCTCCCTACATTAAAAAAACAAGAACCAAACATGCCCTCTCTGACCTCAGCCTCCTAACCTTCAAGTGAACTCATTAGATGCCTCTTTTTTTTGGAGACGGGGTCTCCCTATGTAGCCCAGGCTGTCCTCGAACTCATGGCAATTTTCCTGCCTCAGCCTCCTGAGTGCTGGGATTACAGGCATGCACTGCCATGCCCAGCATGCAGTTCCCTACCTTGTCCAACCCTTCATTTCAATTTCTCTCCAGTATAGATTCAAGCCCTTGCTATGATAATCACTCACTGGAAACTCCCTTTCCCTCCTTAGTTGTTGCTGCTGAACTTGGAAGAACACTCTTCTTCACACCTCCTCTAGAGCAGCTGAGCCCCACTGGAAGGAACCACACAACTGGGTAGACCAGTTGTCCCTGTGAAGTTTGTCCACTATTCTTACACCCTATGGTGCTCCTGCACTGTGCTCCCATCTGCCCTCCCATTTCTATGGGACTTGTGTCGAATTTTCTCTTATCTCTGCAGACCCTTCTCCTCTTCCCCGATGGCCCACAACTGGTGACCTCATCTCTTACTGTTTCGAGGAGACAGAGGCCATATGATGTGAACTCCAAGATCTACCCTCACCCACCATTTCCATGGCCTCTTCTCTCCTGTTACAATGAGAGATGCACCCCACCCTCATGTCAAAGATCAACCCATCCGCTCAGCTGCAACCAGATCCCATCCTTCCAGTACGTCATTGTCCTCAGCATCTGTTTCTCTGTTCCAGATACCTGTCAGACCCAGCCAATGATTATGCCTGCCAGCGCCACTCTAGTCTGAGTCATGTTTGCTTCTTGCTTTCCACCTGTCTTCCTGCTTCAATTCTGCCCCAATCCACTGTCTCTCCTGCACCAGTGAGATCTTTTCCACTGCATTAAAAGATGCAGAGCACTTGGAGAGCTCACGCTCTTCTTTCATGCTTCAGTCTAGGAGTGATAGCATCGGTCACCTAGTCAGTAGTCACCTAGTCAGGTGTCCATTTGTAAAATCAAGGAGGCAGTGAAACACAGTCTCCCATGTATTCAGAATCTGATTACTGGACTTCCCCATCCGAAACCTCCCAGGGCAGCCCCTCTGAAGACCCCACAGAATCTAACCTGGTCCTGACACGGCCTTCCTTCCCCTGAGCATTTCTCTCTGCCACGCATGCTTGCCCAACCTTCACAGCACAGCTTGAAGTTGACCCCAGAAAGGCTCAGTTTTGGAATATTTCTCACATCAGTGCCCTCCGTCTAACAAGGCTGCTCCACCATTAGCCTGTCTCAGGGTACCCTGCCCTTTTCTGATACAGCATTTATCACACCGATTAAAGGTAGATTTGTCTGGTTATTTGTCCCCTGACTGTGTTGCTCTGAGTCCTATTGAATCCCTAGCATCCAGCATGGCTCCTGCCACACTGAACATGCCCACAGTATGCAGAGTGAGTGACAGAATCAAAGCTTCAATTGGGACATAGAGACCCTTGCACACACACCATCGCCAAGCTCACTTTCTTGATGTTAGCTGAGGAAAGCCCAAGCCCTCGTAACTGCACTTGCCTCATCCTTTTGGCACATTAAACTCACCTATTGGCAGGTTAAAGCCCTGCATCTCATCCAGTGGAAGTGGCCTGAAGGTACTAGATTCTCAGGGTGGACTATGTTGGCTTCCAGGAAACCTCAGCCAGATGGACTCAGTGTCACCCAGAGATGCTTAAACACCACAGCAGGAGAAAAGACTGAGCAGGTGAACTCGGCCTTCCTGCAGTGTGAGCGTGGGTGATACTCTTTTGGGAATACGTTTATGTAGTCACACCTTTGCACCTATCAGCATTGATATTGCAGGGAGCGAAATTTTTGGTTCAATATATAAAAGTCTGGCGAGGTAGTGAAATATTATTAGCTCACAAAAAGGAATAAAGTAATGACACATGCTACAATATGCACAAACCTTGAAAACATATACTAGGAATCTGGACACAAGAGCAACATACCATGTTTCTTTAAAAATAAGACCTAACCATAATAATAATAATCAGCCTTGAAAATTAGAGATAAAAAATGCCAGCCCCAATCACCTGGCTTTACCTGCCTTACAGAGTAGCCCCAGAGCAAGAGAATGGTGAGGTACAATCTTCTGCCAGACACCGGCCATCACCATAGTGAAAGCCACCATTTTTTTTTCCAGTTAGGTCTTATTTTCAGGGAAACATGGCTATGATTCCACTCATATGAAATGTGCAGAGGAAGCAATTCCATAAAGACAGAAAGAAGACTGGTGGTTGACTGGGCTGGGCATAGGGTAGACTGGGTGGGTTGGGAGATGTGATGCTAAAGAGAGATAAGAATGTTCTTAAATGGATTGTGGTGATGGTTGCATAATCCCATGAATATATTAAAAACTATTGATTTGTATATTTTAATGGGTGAATTGTGTGGTCTGTGAATTATATCTCAATAAAGCTGTAACCACAACAAAAGGCTAGAGATATTTGGCAGGGTAAAAGGTATCAAGTTCTCCAGTGATACAGCTCTTTCTTTCCTTTTGCTTTTATGCTCATTTAAGGAAAAACAGCCAACGTACTAGGATTACAAACTAGACATCCATAGTGCCTCAGAAAATAAATTCACTGCTGATTTGCTTTTATATACCTTTGCGAAACTGGAATCTAAACAAAGCAGGCACTTCATTTTATTATTTAAAGACATTAGAAAAACAAAGTAATGCTGCCATGTAATATTTTTAATTGTTTTAGGGGAAGCATTTGATCTGTTGATTCAATGCTGTGGGTATGTAGATAAAACAGCTGTTGGCAGCATAGCAAGTTAGTCATTTAGGGCCTAAAAGCAGGGCTGGAAGGTTAAATAGAAGCCAAACAATACTTCTGTGAACTTGTATGACACACCAATAAATTTTAGAGCTCCTTAAGAACCCAGATTAGAATCATGGTTCTCAGTGACATCAACTTTATGCCTAGTTGCTCATTCTTCTTCTGCTCTTCCTATCTGCTGCCGATCTGATTACTACAAGCGCTCTTCAAAACAAATTTTGACCACAGAAAATTCTATTGCTTATCTGATTGTGCGTCATAAATAAGAATAAAGGATGGAAAAGGGGATGCGGAAAGTCTCGGATGACTGGAGAGTTCTGGGCATAGAGCTGCTTGACTTGTTGCACACAAACTCCTTTTATTGACTTCATCACCACTTCCCAAAGAGGCCGAGGCTTCATGGAGCTCCTTCGAAGTTGACTCTTACCACATGCATAGGTAACAGTGAGGTATTTTTTCACTCCTGGCAGACAGGGGCTTCCGAAGTGGTAATTGTTGACAAGGACTTTGCATCTCTGCTTCCCATAGCACCTTCTGGACAGTACTTGTAAAGCTGAGTAAGACAAGCAGTCTGGAAGGGAAAGAGCAATGAGAATTTCAGGCAGCATCCCGCACTTGGCCGCCACATGGCTTATGGCGGCTCTGTAGGCGGATATACAGAGCGGGATCTCAAATCAAAGATAGTTCCTCTGCTTATGTCCTGTCTCCCTACAGCACCAAGGATGGGCAGCACCAGGTTCACGGCCATGTACTAGAGAGCCCTGAGCTTGGTTTAATTTTCTGCTGGCACTTTCTGGAAATTATGGTATAGGTTTGTTTTTCATTTTCCAGAAAGTTCTCTTTAATGTCTTCATTAAATAAATAATAGTTACACAAAAGACCATCACAAGTTTTTACCCAAGGAAAATGTACAGAGGTGCATCAAATATTCAGATTCTAAAATCAAGCATCTACCTAGAATAAAAACCACCTCGATTAATTTTTTTCAAGTTTAACTATTCCTCCTTAGATAAATTTCATTTCTATACTGAAAACATATGTTTGTATAAATTACCTTTAAGAACTTAGTATGGCCTAAAAGTAATCAATTATTTCTATGTCATAAGTTCAGAGCACATTTCCTTGATCCTTCTGTTTTAGCCATTGTCTAGTTCAAGTGAACACACTGTACACATACAGGAGACACAAACCAGGCTATTCTGCCTCACACGGGAATAAAGCGTTAGGCTATAAAGCAACTTAGTTCTTAGGGACTTTGGTAAAGACAATGAACATTAATGTAATTCAAGACAAGATCTATGGGGCTTGCCCTTTCCCTTTACACACTAAGTTTTACAAGAAACCTTACGTGACTTGGACGCATAACAAGAGACAGACAAAACCGGTTTCACTTTTCCCCTCACACACACAAAATGAATACCATGCAATTTTTAAAAATTAATTTTTATAAATCCAGCCAACAATTTCTTTAACAAGGTAAAGTGTGACCTTTGCTTCGAGAGGTGCCAAAAATTGTTTAAATACTTCCATAATTAAGAAAAACAAAGTAATGGTATAGGCAGTGAAATTAAGATGTTTCAGAGAAAGCCCATTGCTTAATAATCATCTGGTGGTCCAAGCTAACCTGTACATTAGCCCGCAAGGTGTATAACCAACTGCTAATTCTATTTACATTCATGACAAATATAACATTTGCCAATGAGAAATCCGTAGGTTTATTTGCTGGTAGTAGCTGAACCTTTATGATAGTATTTTCTGGAGAACTTTTGTATCAAGCCCTTTCTCTGTCTGATGGTTTCCTAAGGACCCTGTCTTTCATCCCAGAGAAAAGGCCGTATCATTCCTCACAATAGATATTAATATATCCTGAGTGATCAGGTCCCCCAGGGGAACCTTAACTTGCCCATCAGATATCACCTCCGCTTACAAACTTTAGTGGACCCAAGAGCAGCATTCGAAGAATCTGGGTGCCGCTTCATCTTTACAGACTTCTCTTCCATAGGACCTAACTTGGTACATGAAATAGAGGATTCTTTTGCTGTATTTTCTGTGCAAGAGGGAAGAGCTCTGTCACAGCTCACTGATTTGACCAGAGGAGAAGCAGCATCACCAGGATATGACAACTTTTGCCTCACAGGTTGCTTGCTATACTCCAGTGAAGAACTAATTCTTCTAACAGACAGACAGAGTACATGGACCCTGAAGAGGTGATTTGTTTTTGTCCTATTTGACTCATTTGATGAAAGCTGTATGTGATCTGAAACCTCCCCATGTGCACTTCCAGAGACAGTTTTATTGCACGTTTCCACCACTGACGGCTGTTTAGCAGTTGTCGCGGGTGTAGGTTTTTACAGGTTTGTTACATTACACGTGCTCTGCTGAAGATCTAGAGCCTCATCTGCCCTGGGAGCTGCAGATTCACTAAGTGCTCTTTAAACCTACCCTCATTCTCACTTTATTTTTTAGGGACTGCTTTTCCTTAATTTGTTCAGCAATAGGGAATTCTTATTTGCTGTACTAAACTATCTTTTTGTATATCTGAAGGAATGTCTTCGCGACGTCCCACCTTCATCTCAGTTGAGTACCATTTTACAGTGGTTTCTCCTCCAAACTTTTGAGTTTGATGTGGTGACAAGTTTCTCTGTGCACAACAAATTTTAACAGCATGGTTTTTGTAATTTTCCTCTGATTCTCTCACAGTCAAATCATTAGTTTCAAGTAGATTTTCCTTTATCCTATTTTCCCCATAAGATGTTTCCTTTATTGTTTTCTTTTCCCACATTATGGAGGATTCTGTGTGACTTATCGATGTATGAAGGTTATTTCCAGACTCAGAAAAAGCTTTCTGACTCTTCACCAAAGTCTCTGAGGTCAGGTGGTTTTCATCTCCAGTAAGGGAGCTTTCTGTTACATCGCTGTTAGTTCTGCTGTGGAAGCGGAAGAGGTGAGCTCACAAGATGCACCAGCTGATGTTTCTGCTGTAATTTCCAGCTCCAAAGAAGTTTGGCGCCTCAAGATTTCCCATCTTGGGCCGCGGATATAGCTTAGCGGCACAGTGCCTGCCTGGCAAGCACAAGGTCCTGAGTTCGATTCCCAGTACAAAAAAAAAAAAAATTCCCATTCTTGAATAAGTTTCATTTACATCCATTTCTTGAAAACTCGAATGCCTAAGTCTGTCCAAGACATCCGGACTTCTTCCATCTAGACTTACTGATCTTCACTGAACCTTTCTTTGGTAATCTTTCATCAATATCTGGGCTAAAAAGTAGGCCTGTTTTTACAGATTCAATCCTATTTTTAAAATTTTCTTGATTTGCAAGTCTCTGACCAACATTTTCATATCTATTGACACCAGAACATCCATTTGTGTCTCTGTTTTTCCCCAGACTAAACTTCAAATGAAAAGATCTTCGAGCCTTTTGTCTATGACTAATTTTAGAAGAGAAGCAGGCTGCTTTTCCTGATTCCACCCTGCAAACTTCTTTGCCTGCTGTAGTGGATTGACAACTGGTGGTCAACTTATAACCCCCAGCTGAAGAGAGTAAGCGTGGTGCTGGGTGTGGGAGGCCCACCTGGGGACTGTTGCCAGCAGCATAAGAGGCAGAACTGGAGAAGAAAGGAGGCTGTCGGGAGCTGAGAGAGGCTGTCGGGAGCTGGTAGAAGCTGTAAAGAGCTGTTGCTTGTTTTGGAGGAGCTCGTCATGCTTTCCTGATGAACTTGGCTGTTTTCATCCTCTGAGGAGCTCACGACCTCACTGGCACTGAGAATGGCTTTGGTTCACTTTAGGGGAGCTCTGGTCCTTACTTTGAGCATTGCTTCCTGGCTCCGGAGGGGAAGATGGTGCACTGCCGGTCTCCTGAAGAAGCCTGCTGTGTTGGCTTCCCTGATGGGAATTCGGCCATCTTGATCATTGGAGGAGCTCGAGACCTCACTGCTGCTGACGACGGCTGTGGTACTTTTCAGGGGAACTCTGGTTCTTACTTTGAGCATCGCTTTCTGGCTCCAGTGTAGATCCCTCAGCCTGCTAGCACAGATCCTTCATCCCGCTGGCACAGACTTCCTAGATTTCACCACTGACCTTTGAGCCTTCCAGCCCAGATCTGTGAAATAGGCTTGTATGAAATATTGTCATGGGCTCTGGACCTCCAGTTGGATTTATGGGAGGCATTGTTATGAGCTCTAGGTCTTCTGCTGGACTCATGCAGGACATTTCTGTGGGATCCAGGCCCTCAGCTAGTTTCCTTGGTCTTAATGTGTGGACAGATTTCCTGCACTGTCTTGTATATCATTCTTTGGGTGACTATTATAAATAATTTTATAAAATATGTGTCCTGTATTGTATTTTTCCCTTTGCAAATATCCCCCAAACCAACACACCTGCAAATCTTTTACCTCACCTTGATCAACTGGTTTCCACTGATGGCAGCAGGAGAGAGTGAACTTGGAGATGACCCTTCTGGACTTGTATCACAGTGAACTGAAACCGGTATAGAACCGCTACTGAAGAGTTTACTTGGCAACAGCTTGAGGTTAAAATTGTGCTTTATGGTCTTCCTTTTCTGACTTGAGAGATCATGAGAAGAATCTACTGAGAGTTTACGCTTAGCATTTGGTGTAAGAATCATTGTGGATACAGACAGCTGGGCAGTTCCTTCCCACTAAGGTGGAATAGAGGGTGTTCTGTTGGATTTAAGTTTATTTAGTGCTCCGTTAACAAAATCTCCAATGCTTTGTCTTTGCTTTGTCTTATACTCACCAGGGGCTTCACGTTCACCTTCTTGAAAGCCTTCCAATGATGGAGCAGCACCAATACCCAACCTCACTGGTACCTTTTGCAGGATAAAATCTGGTATACGCTCAATATCTGAGGCATAATCTATAAGAATCTGCACTACTAGAGCCTGTCATCGTAGCTTTTTTTCTGTGTTAGCAGACATCTTTTCAGGTCCTTCACTTGTCTGAGGAAGATTTGGTGCGAATATTACTGCAGGATTGCTGCTATCCATCTTACTCTTACTGCGCCTGCGAGAAACATTCCCGAGAAAGTTAAAGAACTGTCTTAATAGACCAGCTGCATGCTCAGGCACAGGGCAGGAGAGCAACAGTGGAGCTGTGTCCTCCTCTGATCCTAACTGTTGAGCTTTGAAAAGTGCTTCGTGCAAGTCAGCTGGGAGAATGGGCTCTGGCAATTCCCGAAGGAACCGCTTACGAAGTCCTGCAATACCACGAGGAAGTGCAGAAGACAGGCCACCTTCAGCATTGTCCAGTTTATTCTTAGGTGCCTTTAGGCAGATAACAGATCCCGATTTCCTAAAAAGCCCTTCGGTGTGAATAGGCTCTTCTAAAGATGTACGGGCATCCAAAAGAATGCTGGAATGAGTCCATGTTCCCTGTTTCCTCGGCTGCTGATTCACGTTTCCTGCGATAGCACTGCCCACAGCCACCCCTGACCTTAATGCCACAGCCAGTGCCAGGTGCTGCTACACAGCCTCTGAGCCCACGTTCCCTGTCCGGGGCGAGGTCCGGGCCCTGAGTCTTGTTCGCCAGCCGCCAAGCCTTCCAGTTTCCTAA